TTTTTAAGAGATTTTAAAGCTTGGGGAGGGGGGACACCTTGGTTTCTGGTTTGGACACTCAAAATGCAACAGCAGCAGTTTCAAAGTTACACATACCCTCTTGATTTTTCTGTGTATATATGCAAATAAAAATACAAATACACCTCCATAGAGCCCTTCCCAGAGCACAGACACTCGCCTCCTACCTATGACATTTTTCCAAGCAGAGCATTCTGTTTTCTCCTGTAATTGCTACTTGCCTCCAAAATTTGTGCACAATACCTTAGGTAGCAGAATAATTTATAAGTCCGTGCAAAAGCAAAGTCGTGCAGCTGCTCAGTTTGCAGAACTATGAAACAGGAGGGATTTCAACGCAGAAAATACTGTCTCTACACAGATTAGTTTGCCCAGAATGTAACGCATACACGGCGGCAGAGAACTCTGCACGCTCAGAGCTGCAGGAAGCAAAGCTTCAGCGCTGATAAAGGGAGCTGTCAAAAGTGTTGATATTAAAGCTTTTCTTTTTTAAGTTAAAGAACATATGCCTTTGTGTATATTTTATTTTTCATTAATTAACTCTGTTCCACACACCACCCAAACACATCTTGGACTTTAGAAGGCATTCCAACAAAAGTTTTTTTGTTTTCTTTTTGCCTCTATGTGTTATGACATTTCAAGGGTTGTAGCTGGCACTCATGTTTATAAAGCAGGGGAATTCCACGCATGGCGATAGAGTAGATATTTTAACAATATGTTACAAATATTGTCAATTCCATATTTTTTCCCTTGTGTTTTCAAACACATCATAAATCTAGGCCAGGTTTCTGTGTATGAACCCTGCTTACCACTGAGCTGGAGACTCTTGGCATGAATGCAAAGAGGGTTTTTTATAAATAAAACTTAGTAAAATCACTATGCACTCCATTAATTCAGGAACACTCGGCCTCAGCTTCAAAGGGGATCTTTACAGTAAAGATGGTGTTTTTGCTGCTTTAATGATTTGCTACTTGTACTTGTCATAACTACATGAACCAAATATGCAATACCAGGGAGCAGCGGTTTAGGGAAATGCACAGTTCCGTCTCCCATCCAGCTCCGCTTCAGCTCAACTCAATAGACTTAAGGCTTTATATAGAAAAGGTACTTCATAAATCTAACACTTGAGGCCTTTGTATAATACAAGCTAATGAAAGAAAACTACACGCACGCCTTGGGTATATACCTACCTCGCACGCTGCTACAACATCCAACCCCAAAAATAACTGGCGACCCATGAAGCACTCAACATCCCAGCCAAGGCAAGTAGGGCCAATAGAGGTAAAACAATAACGCGCTTCATCTAAATAATATATACTACGAGACAAGTGGCCTACTAAGACTTTCCACGCTGTTGCTTAATCCTTTTGCAGAACATGAAGGCTCCCAATTTTTAAGTCATGTTTTATCCTGGCTTGTCCCTTACCCTACCTCCCTGCCATATATTCATATTTATTCCTCCCTGCATCAGGGAGGCGACACTTTCTGGGGTTAAGGCAGGGAGCTGGGAGAAGCGGTAAATCTGGACCCAATTCCTGGGCATACCTGTAGGTGCTCGGTACCTTAAGCACATTTCTTGAGCCTCAGTTTTCCTAAATGTAATAAATGGGAACAACAATCCTCACCACCTTGCATGTTTTGACTACTTATGAATATTTTGAGGAACACTGCTATCCAGAAAATACTCACGCAGCACTTCAGACAAAATCATTTGGGATGAATTTTTGATGGGAAAACAAAAATGTTATAAGCTCAGTGAAAATAAATCCAGTTGTATTCATCTACTTGAGGTTACTTTCTTCAAACTAAAGTAAAAAGTCATTGCCTACAGCTGCATCCCCTGTGAGGTTTTTTTGGTGTGAACAGGCACGCGGGAGTTGAGGTCTCCATGCAGTGCCGTGCTACGGGGACACCCACCCAGCGGGAAGGCCTGGGTACCCCACAGGAGGGTTTGGAGGGACAATTCTTTGCCTGCACCAGGCTAGAGCCCTCAAGCTGGGAGGGCAGAGCCATGCTTTCCCCATTTCCGAAGGTCTGGGTCTTCAAGCAGAGTGTTACAGAGCGACCTCTGCCCCTGAGTATCTCAAAACACTGCATAGACATCAATTATTTAATCTAATTCTCTTCTACCAGTGGCTGTATTGTCTTTTTACACTTGCCCATCTTTACAGACCCTTTGGGTTTGGGAAAGGAGAAGCTGAAACACACCAGTGACAATAATTCCGTGCAAAGTCCCGTTCCAGCAAAGCCAAACTTGCAGCCCGACCCACAGCTCTCATTTAGCTACACATGCACCTTTTTCTTCTTTAATCCTTCCTTTTGCATTGCTCCCTGTCCCCCCTTTCTCTTCCCAAATACTTATCTCTCTCCTCCAGTTTCTCTCTCCCCCTATGTAGTGCTGGATTCCCTTGCAGTACCCCAGAACGGCCTGTCGCCGCTCCCTCAGACCATTCCTTCCTTCTAATCCAAAGCTATTACAGAACATTTCCCCTGCCCTGAATTGTGAGGAGAGATGGAAACAGCAGAAAGGAACTTGGGGGAGGGCTACAATGACCCAGGTCCTCTCCAGATTTTCTTTGCCAACTTGCCTTAGCTCTCATTCCACAAAGGGGAGGCTGCTGCAAGACAGCAAGGGCATGCATGCATAAAATATATTACGTGTATAAAACGCTTCACATCGGCAGTCAGCCCTCCTCCAAGAGGAAATATGAGTCACCCTGAAGCTCTGTTCAAACAGCACCTAAGGAACAAGGCAAAAAGAATTTGCAGCTACACACTACAGTCAACAGCATCACCCAGTGAGTATGAATCGGGCACAGCACCTCAGCCTGCGTCCTACACTCTGTTCAGTTATGTCTTCCAGGAACCACACGGCTCTACCCAGCTCATCCTCAGGACAAGACCTACACTCCCATTTCATATACATTTCTGCTGGCTGGGAGGTATCCAGACCAATTGTATTCATTTCAGCCAATACTGGAAACCAGCAGGTTGGGGCAGCTGGAGTCACTGGGGTTTGGTCTTCAGAGGCAGTTCAGCACAGCTCCGAGTTCAAGGAGCTCAACTGCCTTTACCAGATGTGGTCACGAGTTGTGCTTAAACCCCTTTAGAGAAGCTGTTTACCAGATACTACAAAGAAAATACCAAACCTTCTCAGAAGCAGCCTTTTTCCTTTGCCACATCAGCCTGTTGTTGCAACGCACCGGCAGCGCGGCTAGGCAGCGGATTTATGCCTGGGTTCTGCAGTCCTCTCACCAGAACATCCAGGCACATGGGATTTTCTTTTTTTTTCCCTGTAAGACTAAGCCTCACATTGTAGTTCTCTGGCTCTTTTCCATTTAGTATGCACCAAGTTCTCATCACCACCTTTCCTTCCCCCAGCAGGGTATCACAAACTGGAGCTGATGCTCTCAAGGTGATGCCCAAGCCCATGTTTTAACCCCTGAGCTGTCCTGCTTCCTTAGTACATTTTTTTCAGAATAGTATTAGTTTGAGATGACATAGGGACACATTTGGAGATACCTACATACCTGACGACCCAAACACTTGTACAGTAATTCCTAGCAGGCATTTAAGCGAGCTAGGCACTTCATTTACAAATCTATACACAGTCTACAAACCAGTCCTCCTAATATTACTTAGGCTTCCAATTCTGTAAAAGAATAAAGAATATTTCAAAGAACAAAAGCATCCCCCCCTCCACCCTTTAAATTGTATAAACTTTCAAAATTAAAAAAAAAATCCAATTTTGAGCCCTTTTATGTGTTCTAATCCTCTCTCACTTTTTTTTTAATTTTGAACACAGCTGTCTGTTGTACTTTCTCAAATGATGCCAGATGCTGGGTTCATCAACCAAACGCGTGAAAACAATGGTTTGAAAGCAATTAGAAGCACCGAGGCTGCACTGAGGCTCATATTAAAATGTGATAACACTGTTCTAGTGGGAATTGCAACGCTGCTGCATTTCTGACATTTCTGTGCTGCCAGAGAGACAGGATGTGCTGGAAGTGGGCCCTGATCGAGGAGGTAACATACTGGAATTTATTCCTGAAGTAAATGAAGGATTAGCTGAGTTGGAACACTCGCAAGGATTTTTATTACAGTCCCAGCTCCCATCTTGTTTGAACACTGGCAGATCCTTCTGTCCATGCTCACGTATCATGATCACTATTTAAGGAAAAAAGGACGAACCCACTGAACCACAAGCCTTGGCTATACCCAATGCTCCAATTCGGCAATCAGAGCTGAGCTCCACCGATCCAATCCGGAGTCAAAGCAGCTCCAGGTCAGCTCTGAGCAAGTACAAATCCATCAATTGCCCTGAATATGCAGAAGTACCCACTGACACAGCTTGTGACCTGCAGGCACCCTGGAAAGTTTAAATCATCGCCTGCATTATTGCGGAAATGAAGATCAAAGTCACAATCAGAATCCCCCAGCTTGTTAACAGACATAACAAGAGATGGTCACGGTCCTGAAAAATTTACAGCCTGACCATTTGTCTACACCTGGAGGTTGATTCAGTTTCAAGTTCGGGTTAACATGAAACAATGAGACTGGAGGAAACTTGCTGAAGGTCACCCAACAGTGTTAGCTCCCAAGTCCATGGCCCATGGGAATACACTGCCCTTTCTGAACTTTAAGCCTTTTCTGGAGACAGAAGTTTTGCAGAAAAATTTCCTGTAGTCATCCAAGTCAATACATTTATGTCAGCACTGCACAGTTTTGTATTATTTGCTCTCAAGGGTAAGGAGAAATGGACTTCTGCTGCCCAGAAAGAATACTAATGCCAACTCCTGCTATTGCCCTCGCTACAGCTTTGCCCCCTTCCACCCCTAAGAACCACCACGCACAGCTACATACTCAGTTTAAGCTCTTCTCCTTGTTGACTTTGCACAGAAAACACCACGCACATCCAGTCCTTCTCTACTCCCCAAGCTTGTAACAGTGAGAACTCACCCCTCCTTCCCCTGGCTTGCACTCACCTTGGGGCAGAAATTCCAAGTGGTACCTAAAAGCACAAAAAAAGACAGGCATAAGCATACATTATTTTCTTAATGATTTGTTCCAGCCTGATGAGTAAGTGACAGATGGGAGAATTATGCCAGAAGTGCTGCCAGGAACCCAGCAAATGGTCAATGCACATTTTGTGCAAGAGGCTTCAAGAGGAACTGGGAGTCCTACAGGCGCTGGCTGGCCCCTGGCCATCCCCTGCTACCCCAGGAGCCGCCTCCTCCACATCTCCTCTTGGAAAGTTTCAAAGGCTCCCACCTTCCTTCCGTTAGAACAGGTTTCTCTCCCCAAACACAAAGGTTTACATGACCTTTTGCTTTGCAGCCTTAAAAACCTCCAAAGGTCCCTTCCAACACAAACTAGTTTATGACTCTATCACAGGACTCTTTTCTTAACCTCATCTCACACCTCCTCTTCCAGCGGCATCGCAGAGGGCAGCACACACGCTGCCCGCTTCTGGCTGTGCCAAAAAAAAATCCGCCACGATTTCTTCATCTCTCACACTTTGAGCGCATCTTGGGTTGACATCCGAGTCATTTTAATAAAGGAACAACACTAGCAAGATTTGGAAACAGATCAAGGCTTGGGGATAAACCACAAAGTGACCCATTCACAGGCAAGATGTGTAACAAAGGGCTGGTCTATAGGCATTAGTGGCAAGAATCCAGTATGTAAAAATCCAATCAATTTGTTTCCTCATTAAAAGCTTTCATGAAGAAAATGATTTAACACAAACATTCAAGCTACTGACACAGATTAATTACAAAACAACAACAGAATTCTGATTAAGGGCATAATATTTATTTGACTTGTTTGCTTTGGACAAAAAAAAAAATAAAAAATGTGCACAGATAGAAGAAACTTTGCTGGGAGAGCAGGCTCAGTGATAAATAACAGCTGTATTACTTTGGAAAGAGCCACACCACGGTGCCTCGTAGCAAGAAAGGGCTGCAAATGTCATTGGGTCCCAGACGCTCTTGGCAGTGGGCCCCCATTTTTA